GGTGGGTGGCGAGCATAGGATCCCGGGTGTCCCTCACACCAGGGAGGTGAAGAATGGCTTCTTTGGTGGAGCGAAAGATAACCGCACCCCGTGCTCAGCCCTGGCAGAAGTGGAGGCCCACACGGCGGGCTGCCCCAGCCTGAGCAGAGGGGAGGCTGAGTGTGCATCCACTCAGAGCCTGGGCAGGCAGTGGACACTCCTGCCTCGCCCCTCACGCCCCCAGGTGGCTTCGCCTGCTCTGAGTGGGGAGCTCTGTGACCTGTGAAGCCCGCCCTGGGGTCACTTCCTCTGTGAAGCCTTCCCAGGTTACGGCTGCCTCCCGCTGCCCCCTGTGCTGGGCCTTTCTTCCCCCCGCACCCCGCTCCTTGAGGGCTCCGAGTGTAACAGGCGCCCTGAGCCCCATCCCCTCCTGACGCTGCCTCCCAGCGTGCGTGCTCAGTGCAGTGCAGACTTCCCGGGCTCGCAGGGCCCTGCTCCCGGCTGCATCCCTGGCCCCTGTGTGCAGGAGGCATTCTGTGAATAACTGCAGGTAAGACCTGCCCACAGGATGTGGGCTTTGGGATCAGACGGCCGTGGACTTCAACCCCGTCACCCCTTTTCGCTATTGTGCGGTCACAGCCAGTGCTGAGCAGCCCCGTGCCTCAGTGTCCCCTGCTGTAAACGAGAACTCATAGTACCCAGCTTGTGGGGATTCATGAGGTTGGGTGTGATAGCTCTCGGCAGGACGTGTATGCAGCAGGCGCTCAGGAGCCAGCAGTGGGAGTATCAGTATTAGCGATAATATTAGCATCAGTGTCAGCCCAGCCACTGGTGCAGGAGTTGAGCCAGTTCAGGCCAGAGGGCGCGGTTGGGTTCATCCTCAGACCTGGTCTGGCGAGGCCCTCTCCGGCCAGCTCTGGCTCACTCTCACGGCAGAAGCCCCCAGTGAGCTACTCCCACTTGACAAGTCTCAGGGAAGGCCTCTGACTGGCTGGCTTGTGTCACATGCCCGCCCCAGACCAGGGGTCCCTGGCCAGGCATAGCTGCCACTATGCAGCTGGAGGGGAGAGTGACGGGAGCCCCACAGTATTGTCATGAGGGTGTGTCCCCCCAGGTCCAGCCTTATCAGCCCCTTGGCAGGCATTTGTCGGATGGATTGACCACGTGTGAATGAACCCAGACACGGGCCGGGAGGGGAGGCTGTGCTCGTCTGGGGCGTACGGGGGCCTGGCCTTCCCAGGTGCCTCTCGCCCGCCTCTCCTGCCCGCACCTTGCATCCAGCCCCAGATCCTGGGGTCCAGACATCCCGCTTTCTAGCCCAGCCTGAAGCGGGCGTTTTTCTGCCTTCCTTGATGTGGAGTGTCTACTGAGTGAGAATTTCATCACGTGGTTTGCTGACTGCTCTCCCCACTGTGATATGTTAATATGACCACTCATTTGTTTAGTGAGCATCAGTTACACACGTACTCAACTGGCATTGGCGTGGGTGCTGGGGTGTGGCCAGGGGACGACCTCCCTGTCCACTGAGCTGCCCGGCCCCTCCCCTGTGCTGAGTCCACACCCTGGCTACCTGCAGCCCTGTGGGATTTGGGGCCAGGACACCATGGGTCCCAGACCCATCACCTGCTTGCATGGGGCCTTTGTGGGCTGGTACCCTTTCGACTTCTCTTGGGGCAAACACCAGCCAAATCTCTGTCCTTGGAGGCCGTTTCTTTACCACACTGGTCACCTTGAGCCAGCCGAAGCTCTGACCCTCCTGGGACAGGGATATCCAGGTATCCCCAGACACCACTGTGCCTGCTTCTTAGCACCCCTCCCCTGTGGATTTGATTTCTTAACTACGTGCCCTGCAAGCCCTACCCCCTTCTTAGGTTATTTTACTGGGAAGAATGGCAGGTGCTCTCCGTACCCTGATCATCTGCAAGGCGTCTAGGAGTTCACCATTTGCAATTTGAAAATAAGAGAGCTAAATTTAGAAAGTATGGTGCAGGAATGAAAAAGGAGTGCGGGCTGCCCCTCCACCCACCTTCCCGGGGCTGAGTGCCTACCTCCGCCTCACCCATAAGTCTGAAACACAGATCTGAAGCCGTCGTGGGGGAAGAACGCTTCCATGTTTAGATGCCAGCGTGGCTGTGTCTGTTGCTGAGCGTGGCCGTGACTTTGCTGAGTGAGGCTGATGCCCGCAGCCCCCGTGAGGTGGCTGTGAGCCCCACCGTCCCGTTGAGGAAACCGATGCTCGGAGGGCAGAGGGACAGGCCCGGGACGTCTGTGCTCCTCCCCTCCCTCGGGACCCATCTCTGGCCCAGCCTGGGGCTCTCCGTGCAGTGGGACAGCCACCCGTCTCGAGGGCCCCTGGGAATCTCACGAGTCAGAGTCCTCAGGCTCCAGAAGGGGAAGCTGGCCCAGAGGGCCCAGGACTTGCCCAAGGTCACACAGCCCTGCACTGCCTGCTGTGGGTTGAGAAGAAACATGGACAGAAGGGTCGGTGGACGGCGGGTGCACAGCCAGGGTCCTGTTGGGAGTGAGGCAGGACCGGAGTGGAGCGAGGGGGGTGCTTGGTGAAGGAGGGAAGCCCGTGCCGGCTGCGGCTGGCTTCAGAGGCCACAGCAGGACAGCTCTGTGAGGCCTGTTGGCCACCCGCAGGGACAAGCAGTCAGACTCTGAAGTGCCCATGTAGGGGCCCGGCCTCCTGGGCCCAGACCGCAAAGTCCTCGGGGTTCCCAGCCCTGCTGTCCAGTCTCACAGCCCACGTGGTGCTGACGAGGCTCAGGGCCCCTCTGGGAGCGTCTCTGAGCGAGAGCCTGCTGGGTGCCAGGGGCCATGTGTTTTCCCCTCCACCCACCCATTTGCCCCCCAGTTCGGTGATGGTTGCTTCCCCACCTGCCCACAGGGAAACCGGGCCCCAGACAGGGGAGCTGACTCCGGAGCCTCTCCACAGCCCCTCCCCCACCAGGAGGCTGCTTCTCGGGGCGCATCTGCTCCTGGGGGTGGGCAGCCGGGCCTGCAGTGGCAGGTCAGGTGCAGGCACCCTGGAGCTACACGAAGCTGGGGGGGCCGGAGAACTTAAGGCGTGTGCACCTGGGCCGAGGTGGTCCCCTCCCAGTGGCAAGTGCCCAGGCCCTGGAAGAAGCAGACATAAAGCCCCCTGGAGGAGGGGCCCTCCATCCTAGGCCTTGCAGAACGTTCACAAGTACTTTCTCAAGGGCATCAAGGAGCATGCTCAAAGATAACTAGGCACACAAAGAAACAAGGCCACATGGGCAGGAACCAAGATAAACAGGTCTACACAGACCCCACCTGATGGACGTGTCAGGCCCAGACAGTGAGCCAGCTGTGCCGGCTCTGTTTAGGGAAACAAAAGACAAGCTTGGAAATATCTCCAGGGAATAGGAAACTATTAGAAAGTGGCATAGTGGTTTTGTAGAATAACCAGACAGAACTTCTAGAAATGGAAAACAATAACTAAAACTAAAAACTCGGTGGCTGTGTTTGGCAGCTGAATGGACGCAGCAGAAGAGAATTAGTGACCTGGAAGAATGCAGGTTGAGCACCGTGACACCAAGGTGTGGGTCTTAAGGAGGCAGGGACACAGAGGTTCTGATGGCAGTCCCACGAGGGAAGGGTGCAGAAATAGTTTAAGAACAGCTGAGGATTTTCCTCCACTACTGAGATACACCAATCCACAGATACAAGACTCCCTGTGAATTCCCAACAGGGAGAAATCCACAGCGAGACACACCTCAGGGAAACTGCAGAAAACCAGTCAAAGCGAAGATCTTCCGCAGGTGGAGAGAAAAAGACAGATGAGCGCCAGAGGAACAACTCCTGGGAAGGGGGGGGGACTGATGGCGAGTCCCACCCCAGCAGGAAGCCAGGGGACATCTCTGTGCACTGAGGGTAAGAGACCCCCGCTGACATTCTCCCCAGTGAGAATATCCTTCAGAAATGGGGAACTTCAGAGGATGGCGAGTCCCACCCCAGCAGGAAGCCAGGGGACATCTCTGTGCACTGAGGGTAAGAGACCCCCGCTGACATTCTCCCCAGTGAGAATATCCTTCAGAAATGGGGCAAAAACTTCAGAGCAAAAAAAAAAAAAAAAAAAAAAAACCCAGGAGAGTTTGTCACCAGCAGAGCCGAACTAAAGGACGTCCTAAGGAAGCTTGAGGCAGAAGCAAAGTCTATAAGGAACATTGTATGAAATGGCAATAACAACGTTTAGTGGGTTGAGACGATGGAAGAATTCAAACACTGGACGACACGGTGCCAGGGCGGGGGAGGAGTGTTATCATCAGGCTGCCCTGGCCTCAGGGAGGGGAGGATGCGGGGGAGACACCCAGGGCCACACGTCCCGAGATCAAAAGGCAGGGGGGAGAAGAAACTACCCAAACCCAAATTCTTTCCACCGACGTCTTTTATTAATGAATGCAAAATACAGTACTGAGACGGGGCATGCATCACAGACGACAGGAAAGCAAGCTACAGAACCCGGGGTCGGAGGGCCTCATTACATCTGAGGTAGAGCGAGGTGGTGCCGGGGAGCGGGACACTGGGGGGACGAGCACCGGCCCCACTTGGGACTACGGACCACGGGGGAGCTGGGGGGTGGTCGGTCGTCGGCCACGCGGCAAGAACAGCTGAAAACGTTACACATCCCTCCACCCGTTCCAGTCCCCCTCTTTGTGGACAGAGCGTCAGGGTTCCCTTGTCACTGGCTGGCGGGGGGTCTCCGCAGGACACAGTCCTTCCCTCTGAGGGGCAGGCCCCACTCACCCTCACCCGAAAATCAAGGAGCATCGCGTCGAAAACGCCTAGGCCGCCATCTAGGGAGCTGGAGGCTGAGTGCGTTAAGAAAGACCCTTTTGCTCTATAAAAATAGTTGCACTTTATAAAAGGGGGGATGCTCATCTCCAGTGGGGAAGGAGGTTGCTGTGTGAGAAACGGTCCACCGTGGCGGTGCGGGGGGCGGACGAGACACGTGGGTGGGGTGGCCTCCCCCTCCCCCCGCCCCAGGCTCAACGGGGTCCTCGTTTGCGGGGCCGGGAGGATGGGTGTCAGGGAGGCGAGGCAGCACCCCTCGGGACCCGGTGTGCGGGGTGGCCACGGCCGAGGCCTGCACGCGGGTGCTCAGTTGAGCAGGGTTCCGTAGAGCTGGGCTTTTGTGAGACTGTCCTTGCGGCTGAGCCCCGAGCCGCCAGTCCGAGGGAAGGCGGGCTGGGGGCTGAGGCGGGCACCGGGGTGCATCTCCGGGGAGGCCTCCATGGAGCTGGGCTCCAGGGAATCCCTGGAGCTCCGGGGGCTGTGCTCGGGCTCGGGGCTGCCGCCCGCCCCACAGAGCTGCACCCCGAGCCTCTCCCGCTCCCCCTCGCCGGCCGCGTAGCTGGGCAGGGGCTCAGCCGAGCGGCCGGGGCTGAGGCTCAGGTCGCCGGCCGCCCGGAGGTAGCGGGGCTCGGCCAGGTGGCCCTGGGAGAGGTCATCGCCCTCCGAGAAGCTGTCAGCCTTGTAGCTGGCATAGAGGGGGCTGGCGCGGCCCTCGGCCTTCTCGCCCGGGCCGCCTCCGGCCCCAAAGTAGCGGTCGTTGAAGCCGCCGGGCGAGGCGCGGCCGGGGGCGGCGGCGGCGGCGGCCGGGAAGGGGTAGGCGCCGATGTCCTCCACGCTCAGCGGCCGCCACTGGCCGCGCACGTCCTCTGCGGCCAGCCGGGCCGACCCCGGCTTGGCCCGCAGGTTCCACAGGTTGGGGGGCATCAGGGCGGGCTGGGGGCCGGGGGAGACCGGGAAGCGGTAGGGCTCGGCGGGGTACGGCGACACAGTCCTCGCGAACCCCGGGGCTGCCTCGGCCTCGAGCGGGGCGGCCACTGCGGCCGCGGCCGAGGCATAGCGTGGGCCGCTCCCGTAGGCCGCCGGCGGCGTGCGGCCGAAGAGCTCGTCGCGGCTGCTCAGGTAGATGGCCTGCTGCGAGGCGGTGAGCGTGCTGGCCTGGGCGTGCTCCTTCTCCGACGCGGCGCTGAAGCTCGAGTAGGAGCTGGACGTGGGCAGCGAGGCCGCGTAGCCCCCGAAGGCCCCGTGCCGGTAGCCCGCGGGGTAGGCCGCCGCCTCGGGCTCCTCCTCCTCGGCCGCGCTGTCAGTGGAATTCTGGGCCCGCAGGAAGCCCACGTCGGTCACGGGCCCGTCCGCACTGGGCCGCCGGTCACGGCGCCGCTCCTCGGGGCAGTAGAGGGCCGTGTCGCTGCAGTAGATGTCCCCCTTGTAGGGGGGCCGGGGGCCCGGCTTTTCCAGCCTGTCGCGGAAGGCCAGGTCACGGGTTGAGGCATCCGACAGATGGGAGGACAGGCTGCCGGGGTCTGGCTTCTCCAGCACCTTGGCGAGGACGCAGGGGGGGACACTGTCAGCGTAGGCCGGGCGGCAGAGCGGGGAGGGCAGGCTGCAGCCTTGCTTCTCCATGTGCAGGCTCACGTGCTCCTGGAACTCTGAGGGCAGCTAGAATGGGACGCCGCGAGGAAGAGGAGGGGACGGGGGTCACGGTCAGCCCCGGACCGGCAGCCAAGGCTGACCCACCGGAGACCTGCCCAGGCCCTCTCTAATGCCACCAGCTGGAGCCGACGCCCGGGATGCTCTATTTCGCAAGCTCCCGGGATGTGCCTGTGAACCCCTGGTCACCGCCACCCACCCCGGCCCACTCCAGTGGGGCACCGCAGAGCCTGGAGGCTGGAACCCGGCTCTGACTCAGGCCTCTCTTGGGCCTTCCCCGGAGGGGCTGACTTGCCCTCCCAGCCCCAGGGTCTCTGGGAGGGCACCCCCGGCCCACGCACGCGGCCTGGGTGCTCCCAAACCAGACAGACTCAGAAACAGATGCAATGAAGATTGAGGGCCAGGCGCCCAGCGGTTTCCGCAGGAGCGCCTGGTGCCCTGTGGGGGGCGTCCCGCTACTGTTTGATCTATTTTGTGAGCATCTTAGGTGTGGCCCAGGCTCAGGCAGACGGAGGGTGGAAAGGCCTGGGTGAGGGGAAGGGCGGCCTGGCTGGGGTGGGAGCCCTGGGTCCGAGGCTGGGCCCGGTGGCCTTGGCCCAGTGACTCCCGTGTGAAGCCAGTTTCTTATCTCTGAAATGAGCACTGTTAGGAATTGTACCCAAACCAAACCACAGGGTTTCGGGGG